ATAAAATATAAAAACAGAATATTAAATTTATTGTTAATGTTTTATTATTTTTAGTATTTATGTGTTATTAAAAACAAATTTTTATATATAGTAAAAATATTAAAAACTGAATATTAACAATATTTTTAATTCTTATGTGTTATTCAATTCATTTATGTTTTATTACTTTAAAAACTGAATGTTAAAAACCAAATATCTTATTTTTAATGTTTTATAAAAACAATCTTATCTTTATATTATTATTATTATTATTATTATTATTATTATTATTATTATTATTATTATTATTATTATTATTATTATTATTATTATTATTATTATTATTATTATTATTATTACTATTATTATTATTATTATTATTATTATTATTATTATTTGTTATTAAAAACAGATTTTTGTTATTAGAAATAGAATATTATATTTGTAAATAAAATATTAAAAACAGAAATATATTATTTTTAATGTTTTATTTATTTTTTGCTTATAAAATATTAAAAACAGAATATTACTAAAATATAAAAACAGAATATTAAATTTATTGTTAATGTTTTATTATTTTTAATATTTATGTGTTACTAAAAACAAATTTTTATATATAGTAATACTATTAAAAATTGAATATTAATAATATTTTTAATTTTTATGTGTTATTAAATTTATTTATGTTTTATTACTTTAAAAAATGAATATTAAAAACCAAATATCTTATTTTTAATATTTGGGAAAACAGTGTCAACTATTTGGGAAAACAACACGCATTTGGAAAAACATTTGATTTCCTTGTGAATGACTTGATTTAATAGCTTTTCTCTTGCAGGGTATTCGGAAAACAGTGTCAACTATTTCTTTAATATTAAAGGAAAGGCCTTCATTGCTCAAGACATGCAAAAGTGCACAAAAAATTGTACTAGAAACCTTGGATTTGGATGATGACCCACTTCCTGAGAATGGTGTAGTGAAAAAGGAGTCTAACGTGTGTCAAGATACACTCAACAGAAATCCAATCACAGGTGTGAATTTGTCGGTAAACACAAAGGGCAGGCCATCTGCACGAACCCTTGTTGTTTGTTCAACTAGTTTTTTCGATCCGGATTGATGCGAATTATTTATTATAATTTTAAATTTTTATTTTTGTAAAATATTAATTACATTTTAGTATATTATACACTTTTTATTTAAAAAATTTATTCTTAATTTTGATATTTATTTATATTTATTAATTTTTATTATTTATATTTATTAATTTTCCAATTTAAATTATTATTAAAAATAATTTAAAAATAATTTGTATTTATTAAATTGAGTGGACAAACTATAATTATAATTTTAAATTTAAATAAAAATATAAATTGTTTTTAAACCTACCAAAAAATTAATCAATTTAAAAAAATTAAAAAAAAACACTTAGCCACTTGATATTCACGTCGCAAGTTGTGAAGTGAAAATCACTTCGCAAGTTGTGAAGTAAAAATCACATCACAAGTTGTGAAGTGAAAATCACGTGGCAACAAAGTTGTCATACGTCCTCCTGCCACGTGAATAGTCACGTCGCTAATATCAGTTTGTGAAGTGATTTTCCTTGTTGTGAAGTGAATTTCACATGGCAAGATCCAATTTTTTTGTAGTGCTTGAGTTTGGGCTGTAGTAACTTGTACCATTGCATTCTCAGGGGTTTTGACCATCCTAACATTAGATATCTAAGGTGTCGGTCGAACTGAAATTTGGGGTGTGCCAAAGAAATCAGCTATACATCCTATCTGATTTTCTAACACTTCATAAGTTTAGTTTGTATCGTCAATTAATAGGTTAAAATTTTTTCCCATTTGTTGGGTGAGGGTATTTACTAATTCTAAATTACTTTTATCCATCTGCTGCCTCATAGACATCATAGAAGCCATATTCAAAGAGGGTGTGTTCTGAGGGATATAATTTATTCCTACCGATCGTGACATGTTATTGATGGTCGACGCTAAAGCATTGTAGGGATTGTATAATGGCGTTGTGGCTATTATGTTGTCATTAAAGGTTGACACATTAGGTTGCAGGCTAGCTATCATAGAAGTTGACATACCATAAGGGTAATCTCTGCTAGGTGGTGGCATTGAGAACCCAAACAAAGGTCGCGCAAGTGTAGGATTATTAAGGGTATTTCCTGACTGCGAAGGGGTGTAGTCCCCTGGAACGGCATTGTTGTGATTGGCGTCACTGACACCGATTGATTCGTTGTTCTAACTAGCGTAGAAAGAACTGGCTCATCAACGGCCGAAACAATCTGCTGTTGCACTACATCCTGGGGATTATTCTAGGGATTAATATTGTTTGCAAGAGGACGCGACATACTATATAAAGCCTTACCACTCCTTAATCGCATGCAAAATGCCTAGAAAAAACTTTCTTAAGAACCGACTACTAATTTCAGATGTCAAGAAAATAAAGAAATCTAACACAAACTAGAAACTTAGCACGAGTTCCACTGGGCGTGCCAACTTGCTTACCCTAAAAAATAGTTAACAACCGTTAGTCTCCAAAATATAGGTTACTTGCAGGATCAACCAGTGAATCCTAGGACATTGTGCCTAATAATCCCCTTATTCTTGATTTCTTTATGTTTGAGATGTAGGAACTTCAACTTGGTCAAAGGAAAGTGTTGGTTTGATACTAAGTTGACAACACTATCCATTGCAAGAAAGTAACAACAAAGCGAAAAGACTGGAAATTTTAAAGAGAATTTAGAAGCTTAAATTGAAACGAAGAAAGGAAGGAAACAAAAATGAAACACAAATCAAATAAATTAAACTAATTTCATTGAAAGTAAAAATCTGGTGTTTCACATGTTCTTACATCCTCTTAGCAATTCACTCGTTTCTCTTAAGCACTGATACTTTAAGTTTGTAGTGAGATTTTTGTAATACCAATTGAACACACCTAATTCAACAAAATGAACTACTATATATACAATTGTGAAAATAACTACTCATAACGTTTCTTCCATCATATCTCACCACGTGAAACTTTGCATGTAACTTCTCTTCAAGAGTCCATCCACATGTTCATTCAAGAACAAACTCTAAGACAGTTATTTATATTTGAATGTGGTATTGCGCGCCCAAATAACTGCCTCGTCGACTACTTTGTTGTTTTTGCACATGCTACATGGTCGATGAAACTCCTTAGTTGAATTCTTCTTATGACAACTAGAAAATCTTCTAAGTCCAAATCCTTGGTTGACCCAAGAATCCTACATGGTTGCCCTTGTTTGCTGGGTTCCCTTTACTGACTAAAAATCCCAGCTAACAGACACACGCATACAAATAAATAAACACACACACACACACACACACGCACGCACGCACGCACGCACGCACACACCAAAAGCAAACAAACACATGCACGCGCGCACACATACACACACCCATAATCTCTAACCTGTAAATAGAAGTCTCTTCCCAAGCTTTCAAACATCCAGAATCGTGAGCTCTCATTTCTCACACCTCACATTCTTTCTCTAAAAATATTTTTCACTTTCTCTCACTAAAAAATTTAGTTGTTATGCTTTCAAGAAAAATCTTTGCGAGTGAGGCATTTATGTAATTCTGGAAGGGTAAATTATAAATTCATCAAGGAACATTTGGTTTTACCTTGGTTGAATAATTTATCCATTTAGGAACTTTTATTTGGGTTCGAAGCTAAACCTGTTAAAAGCTTTAATTTGAGGATTTAGTGATCAAGTTTTCGTTTATGTTCGAAGGCTCATCCCATTCAAAAGCTTTCAAAGGTTCGGGATCAGTTCAATATTGAAATCTCAAGTTGATTGGTGGTTATCTTGTGCAAATCTCTTATATAAGGTTTGTGATAAGCCTGATAAAAAATACCTTAAGTTCGAGGTTAGCACATGAAAACCTCAGTTCGGTTTGAGTTCATCAGTCTGTGTAAAATCTTGATTTTTAAAGTTTGAATACTAACCACTCCAAGTTGTTGTTTGGAATGAAGAGTAACTGCTTCAACCCATCGTTTGGAAGGAAGTTAGTCATAAGCTTTATTTTTCTTGTATTAGGGGGTTCGATAGTCCAACCTATTAAAAACTCTTACGTTAATTGATTAGTCTCAAGATTAAATCTTGGAGGCAGGACTAAATCATGTTTTATTGAACCTATATAATTATTAGTGTTTTTGTCTCTTTCCTTAAACTCTTTATATTTACATTTTACCTTTTGCAATTTAAAGTTTTGTTGCTTAATTATAAAATATTTTCAAACTCTTATAAAAATTAAAAATAAATTAGAATTACAAATTTCTAAATTCTATAATTCACTTCCCTCTTGTGAACTGCGACACTCCCTCTTATCAACTGTGACACTGTTCATCTCTACTTGAACTCTAAAGACAATTTGTCAAAAACCAACATATTTCTAAATTAAAGTCTAACAAACCATAATTAAAAATCTCACCTCACCTTCGTTGGAGATGCTTTAAAGAAACATTAGAATGATTTATAATTATTGAAAATAATATTACCATGATAAACAAATGTAGAAAAAGTATAAAATAATTTTACATTATTTATCAATAAAATAATTATAAGTTATTTTGAATGACATATTATCATTCAAACTTATCATAAAAACATAGACTTTTGAATGACATACCAAATGACAAATCTCTTAACCAATCAATTTGTGACATTTTATGGTAGCCAACTTTGGCACTTACATTATGTTATACTTGACATAAGTGCAAAAGCTGAAAAGGAAAGTGACATGGATGAAAAAGTGGTATGACAGAAGATATCTTCATTAGTTTTATAATTTACGTGGGTGAATCTAATTGGTAACTCCACACTAAAACCTCATAGACTAAAACAACTCCTGGCTCAAAAATCTTCCACTTTTCTGCATTTCAACTTTTTCCCTTTATAAAACCTCTTCACACAAACACACAAACCATTGTACCTCCCTTTCTCTTTCTCCACAACTCTTCATTATCCATTGTTTGTTCGAAAAATGTCTGAGATGATTAATGTTTCAACCATTAAGCTTTTCGGGAGAACGATATTTCTAACACACAACACTGACGTCTTTACCAATGATTCTTCTCAACACAATTCCACTAAACTAGATGATCAAATTGATATATCACAAGACAAATCTCCAAAGAAACCAGACATAACTGTTCCATGTCCAAGATGCAAAAGCACGGACACAAAATTCCGCTACTACAACAACTTGAAAGCCAAACAGCCCAGACACTTCTGCAAAAACTGCCAGAGATACTGGACTTCTGGAGGTACCGCCAGAAAGATGCTTGTAGGAGCAGGTCGCCGTAAGAACAAGTTCACTAATTTTCCACTAGATGTCTTGCATTATTCTCAAATGAGTAATGTCTTGACCTTTGGATCAAATTCTTCTGACAAAAACTTGAATGTGGGATCATATGATGAAACATTTGATAAGAGTTATCAAAGTTTTTCTGAACAGTGTCCGTGGAACCCTGCAATGTGTTATCCTAATAAAGCACACTATGGTGGTTTGTTGCAACCATTATGGAATGTTCAATCTGTGCAAACACAATCTTGTGGCCTAAGTAAACCTACAGATGGAGACATGATGATTCATCCCAACTCAGAGCATGAAAAACTTCGCTTAAAAAGTAACAACAAAGAAGGTAATGATACTAATGAAGAATTGGTTCCTACGTTACTAAGATTTGACGACCCTAATGATGTTGTAATGAGTTCTATATGGTCAACAATAGGAATCGAGAACGCGACAGGAATTTTCAAGGGATTTGGATCTAATGACAAGAACCATTTGGTTGAAGCATCTTCATCAGTTTTGAAAGTTAACCCTGCAGTTTTACCAAGGTCTATTGTGTTTCATGTGATGATTTGATCGGGTGTTTGTAGCATTCATACGTAGTTTTGTAGGCATGTCCTAATCCAAAGTGTGTTGATGTCTGACTCCAACACAACTCAGACACATGTGGTGTGAATGTCATGTTTCTAGTCTATGTCAATAGTACATTAGACATAGATTCATAAGATTCCTAAAAGTTTCTTCATGTGATTTAGATTAGATGAGTTTGTTGTGTAAATATCTTTGATGTACATTTTATATATATAAAAAATGATAAATAACAAGATGAATAGACAAAGGAAATGTTTGTTTTGCTCAGAAATATACAATGGTTAAGAAGAAATATTACAATCCAAATCATTTGATAAGAGCTATTGATATTGCTTCTTCTTTCAAATATGCAGTTATACGATAGTAACATTGGTTTTAAAAGATTTTATGACATTTATTTCAATTTTATTGTGTTATGCCATCTTCCATAACATATTGTACTAAGAAAAATGCATATTCGACTATAAAACACACATAAACTAGTTACAGATAGTCTAGTGTTAAAACACCTTGTCCAATCCACATAGCTATTACAACATAATTTAGGAGTTATTATGGTTACCAAGAATAGCTCATGACATTTATTTTAATTTTATCGTGTTATATCATTTTTCATAGTCTATTGTACATTCAAAAAATCTATTGAACTATAAAACACACACCAATTAGTAACATATTGTCGAGTGTCAAAACACCATGTTTAATCAATATTGTTTTGGGTCGGATAAATGTCGAAATAGTTAAGGCCTAATTTATCTCAAATTCGCACCATGTAACTCAAGATATAAAATTAGCCCATTCAAGAAACAAGGTACACTCATTGATCTCCAAATTTTCACTATATTCATCTTAAATTATGAACTGACTTGGACGTTGAAGTCCTAACCATGCAGGTCTACCCCATGCCGCCGTGACCGAGATCAACATCACCGGTCCAAGATATCTAGTTCACCAAATGCCTCCATTTCTGATTTCTGAACATAACAATGGTGTCATTTGTGGGAATCGACTTCTAATTCCTACGATTTCCATGATTTCATATTCAATATCCGATTTACTAGTTCGTAACCTCCTCAGATCACCAAATTAAGAGCATTCAAAAACGAATTCAAAGATTCAATGCACTCGATCTAGTCAGTTATCGTTTCAACTACGATTCATTGGATCTCCAGATCTCTGATTCCCTCGAGAACTCCACGAAGTAAAAGAAAAAGGATCCTAGATTCAAATCTAGTTCTATGTTGAAAATAATGGAAAGTGAAAACAAATTTCTTATAGATCATGTCGAAGATTCGTGATTCATCTACTAACGTGATACTTATTATGGAGACATGAGAGATATGATGAGCTCATAGTTAATTTTGGCATGGATCCAATACTGAACCGCCTTCTATAGGTACCAACGGATCTCCAACCGATGAGCGAAGGTCTCCTCGGGCCAAATCCAATAGGTCGTGATGGAGCATGTCGGCTCTGTACATCTTTTCCTTATCACTTACGTCAATTATAACTGGAAGTGAAATTGATTCTAGTGGTGATCTTTCGGTAAACTACTTCTTCCATATGATCCTAGAGTGTCGCACCAAGAAGTAGAGATGTTCAGACGCATATACGATCGAAGAACAAGAGTGCTAAAATAAGTTACAACCTTGTAATGCATGGTAAGTGTAACAGTTTCCATTGAGGATGGATTTCGAATGAGAAAGCTCGTGAGCAACGTTCCCCAAGCGCTAGTTCCTTGTTTGACGTTTTTGAACTACCAAATCCCCATGGTCGGGCTTGAGGAATAACAAAGACTCACTGAATAAGTTTGGGGTAGTGGCACCCGAAACTTTGGTAGCAAAGGAACCAAGTCTCCTCCAAAGACACCTCTGATCGGTAGTGGCTTCTAGTCCGACCGTGATTTGGGCTCTAGGGGAATCTGAACGCAAGCCCATGTCGCCTATAAATAGACTGTCTGTCATGTCTCGGCTGGTAGGGTTGGATATTCGCACCAGCGTAAGAGGGAAGCTAGAGTGTTTCCTACCTCGGTGATTAGAAGAAGTCAAGTCGGGATATTCGATTAAGACAATTCTATGGCCCTAAGAGTTCAGCAGTCATCCTCGAGCCATGTCATCAATAAAGCCAGCCATCTTGTGGTACCCCAACCGACGAAAATAAGGTCGAATAAACGGATGTCGCATCCGACTGAAGAAGATATCGTATGGACAAGAAGCATACTTCTTAGAGTTCCTAAAGAGAGGAAAGGTACCAAGAGTTGAATTGTCTCCAAGCCAAAGCGGTTTTAAGGTTGAAGGTCCATTAATGTAGTCATTTCATTGTTTCATTATAAAAAAAGTTCTCTTTGTTATGAATACGGATATTTGTATATATTCTCTTTTGTCTGTTGTATGTTTTCTCTTCTATCTCTATTTTAGAATGCTAAAGGAATGGATGATAAAGACTACTCGCATTTATGCATACCTGATATAGCTTACACACATTTATGTGTGGATGATATAGATTAGATGCATTTCTACGTAGCTGGAGCACCCCTCTTTCGAATCTAGTCAATCCAAGGGCGTAGATGGTTGAGTCTGGGGATGTCCACCTTGATCTGAGCCAAGTCTCGGGGAAGGGACACAGATCATATCCTTGGCCGAAGAATAATATGCTATGAAATGGAGCGCAGTATAAAGAGACAAATACATATCATCGGTCTCTCTGATTACGAGCCCCCTCCCTCGTGGAAAACATAAATAACATGTTAAATACAACACACAAATCAATACGCTACTATAATGAATGCTAAATAAAACATGCAAACAAACGATAAATACAACATACAAATGTAACAACAAAAAATGGTAGCTAACAATATTTAATGTGATAAGCCGAAAATTATATAGACCACTGTCAAGAATGTGCGATGAGAAGATCAAGTACTTTGTTGCAAAAAGCAATTTATTTCCTTCATAAAGGCAAGAAATCAGTGTTCCAACACTCTAAGAAGACAACCCTTCGCAGATGCCAAGGTTCTGACACATAACTCACCAGTGAACACCAAAAATTCCTGGTGGTCCACAAACCTTTCAATGTAGGAATACCAAATGAACCCTGAGATTATAACAACTTACAAATAACCAAAGTTTCAACAAAGAAACAATAATAAGATGGAGACAATTGTATAACTCAAAGATAAATAATGTGCAAGTCACTAAGGTAAAAATACTTTTATAAATATTAGTTGTTACGTTAAGGACACAATGGCCTGAAAAATATTACAATAAAAAGAAAACAAAAAGTGATCAGGTTGAAGCATCTAGAGCCAAAGTACCGAGACTGCCATCCCGATCCCCCTCGGGAGCATCTTGGAAGAGGTTCAACTTATCAAAAAAATATCAGTATTCGGGAAGAACCTCTTTTCCTATTACACAACCTGGTAGCAGACCCTGAACACGACTTGCATAGTCCGTTGGAGGGAATTCGTGAGCATCACTTTCAAACTGGAAACCTTAAAATGAGTATCGACCTCCTAAAGAAGAGTTTTTCGGTCCTCCTCCACATAAAAGGTCATTTAAGAAGCTAACTTGGAGGCATCACACCTTCTTTCCTCTACCTTAAGAGCATCCTCTAGCTCAGTTATCCGAGAAACTAGAGTGAAGGAGGAACCAAACGTTTTTGCCACATCTTGCAAAGAGTTAGCAAGCTCGACCTTCTTTTGTAGCTCAGCTAAACCCTTCTAAATAGGCGATCACTTATGTTACAGGGCTTTACATTTCACCTACTAAGTGTCTCTTTCCCTAGCAGGATTACCAGGAGCCAAGAAATCTCCTCTACCAACAGCGGTGAGGGACAACAGAGAGGCAATCCAATAAATGTTATGGGTGAACCTAAAAAAAAAGCTCTGTTTTCTCTTCCTTTGATAGATTTTGGACGAAGGGCATGCTCGATGTTGACATGATAGTAATAGAAACCTCAGGAGTATAGGGCAAGTTGGGACAAGAAAACTTTGAGAATCTTCAAGAAGGAAGTTATCTCCCTTAAAGCATCGTCCCTAGAAAGACGAGTCCATTTAGGATAGCCTTCTCCTGGCGGGATTGGTCTTCATACTGGTACCTCTTTGTTGGAATTAGAGACGGGGGCGCCTCATCTATAATCAAAGTGGTTGTTGTAAGAACAAGATTAGGTTCTGCATCTGGCCTTTAGTTTTAATGAAAACAATACATTGTTTCTTAGAGAATAATTTTCTACCTTAATGATTTTATCTAGTGTGTAGCTTTTGCTAACAGGTTCGGACTCTGAATATTTGGTGTGAGACATCACCAAATTCCAAACTCAACACACTCTACCTCTAAAGAGATACAAATGTACGCTTTACAAGATTACGTCAAGTTCTAAAATTCTCTTTGACAACGATTCTCATGAACGTTTGTGCTAAAGCTTCTGACTGTGACTCTGATGGAAGAGCCTCTGAAGGGTTATCAAGCTCTTTAAATTCTAAAGACCAAGTTATGATACTATAAAGACCATGTTCTGAGGAACTATGTCAAGACTCTAAAGACTAAGGTTTTGAAGTTTCTTTGAACCAGACTCTTGATCCTTCTAAACATGCTTTAACAACATATACTCAGAAGCCTCTGAAGTTTAGTAGAAAAGATAACAACTATACTTGATGTTCAATAATAAGTATAGAAGTAATACAACAACCAAAAAGGTTCTTTAACACTTAAGATTTATATGATAAACAATGATAATAAATCTTAAGAACTTATGCAATAAATAGTTAGAAAACTTTAGCTCAAAGTTATGCTCAGCGTTGTTCTATAGTAGTATTGTAACCTTCTTTCAAATCTTCAACTCCATTTTATAGAGGCGGAAAAAGAGTCGTTGGAAGGTGATTTGCATAAGAGTTATTTGTTGAGAAACATTCCAAGAGAGACGTTGGAGGATGTATCTGGTTAAGATCATTGTCCATTGAGTAATATTATTGTCCATAGTGTCTT